TTCCCTCTCTATTATCTTATAAATTGTAATCTTAAATTAGTTTTATTCTCAGTTAATCAAAGTGGATGGAATTTGAAGAATAGATAGGAAAGTGGAAAGAGAAGGACACGGATTTTCTCTTTTCATTTTCACATTTAGAGCATCTTCAATGTTTCAATGAATTGCTGAAGTATTTGCAACATATGCAAAATGAACATGTTTTAAAAAATTCATTTGGCCAAAATCTTTTAAGTTGATGTGGTAAAGGGGGGAAAAAAAAAAGAACTTCGTCTAGATTCAAAAGCTCTATATACAAACTCAATAAAATTTATACTTTTTTATGCATCATTAGTTTCTTAATTTTATCTATTTTTATTTTAAGATAATAAAAGATACGGACAAAAATATTGACTTGCAGATCAATTTTAAGTTTGACCGTCTATTCATTAGATATGATTATAATAATAACAAGTATATCAACTTGTATACAGACTAAATGATGATTCATAGAATGCATTGAAATACTCTGATCATTGTAGCAAGTTGGATGCAACGATTGAGCACTAGAGTTGCACTTTGCAACTACACAATAGTTACAAAAAACCTATTTATATTTATGCGATGAAAAAGAAAGAATTGTAAGAAGAGTTTGGTCGCATTAATGAAGGAATTTTGTCCGAGTCACCAGGGTAATAAAACTGTAAAATAGACTTCTCCCTAGAATTTACCTAAGGAGACAGATAGCACATGGCACATGCTCCCTAATATTATATCACTCTGTCTCTTTGTACACAAGCAGCCGCAGAGGGGGGACTGTTTTCTTTTCAAATATTTTCATACTGCCATTCAGTTTACGGATTCAATATTTTCATTTATATATAGGGTTAAACTACACTCAGAACCAGTGCCAGAATCTTAGGTGGCGGGAAGTGATTTGATGGAAAAGATGACAATGTTTTAAACAGTTCAATGATAAAGTGTTATGTGTGGCATTATGTCTATTATTCTAGTATTGTAGCATGGTTCTTACATATAACTTAAATAAAACCTGAATTGATGACATGTATTTTAATCTTAAACTTAAAAATATATTCCATTCCTATATGAACTGTGTGATAATGCAGGGTGGGTTGGAGCCTCAGAAGCGAGACACTTTATCATCCCTAAAATTGGTGTTGAAAACTCAACATGACCTTTTTCTCATGACACAACTGAATTCTTCTAGTTGCGTCCAACTTGTTTTTTTTGTGAGATCGGCTTTTGAATATGCATACAATGTGGTTGAAAATTTCTGAAGGTGAAATAAACCAAGGAATACAATCCATCTATGGAAAAGAAACCTGAAATAAAAATGTACGAGAAGCTAACTCGTGGGCCACTTTGTTTGCCAAGAAACCATCTTCATCCTCAACACAGAAAGAATCAACCACCCCACTATATTTTATTAGCATTATTTTAATTTTTGATTAAACAATGCTTGATAATTAACTGGCATAATTAAACATGGAGAAAGAACTTAAATTGAAGATCTGTATAGAAGTATACAACAAATTAAAATGGTACCATATATTATTGATGTAAAGTCTCCTTTTCTTGCATTTCTACCATTCCATACAGAGTAATTAAAACTGCAGATTGAAATACAAAATTGTACTGATAGTGATACATATATCTCTACTCTATTGGGAAGAAGTCAGTCTTTGGCAATCAGTTCTTGGCGTAGCAACAAACCTTGACGAGAAGGAATAGAATTTATAGTAATCTTCATCCAATAAGTTACTGGTGGAGCCATTTGTATCAAAGTTTAGCGAATAACTCAGTGGATCGTATCGGCATTGGAACGAGGATTGCCTGCTTGTAGAATGCAACATTTTGCTTCTTTTTCTGAGTACTCTTCTCATTAAGTTGGATAGGCCACAGCAGTTACTAGTAGATGCATTTTCCAACGATCCATGAGCATCAAAACCACCACTTGCGGTCGCAGAAGTGGTATTCGGCCACCACGGGAGTGCTAAATGTTCCATCTTTTGGCTTTAGATTTGACAAGTAGCTGGGGAGTGGGAGAGGTGAAGGGAGAAATAATGTCCTCCCTCTTGTGGAATATATATATACTAGGTGCAAGCAACGCGCAATGCACGTTTGTCTAGTTTATATTT